CTGTGAGTCACTTGCTCCGGCAGCTCGTTTAGCAGCTCGTTCCCCCGCTCTCGGCGAAGCTGCGCGTCCTGGAAGCCGTCTGGGTACCAACCCTCCCTGTGCGCTCCCGCTCCCACGGCGGTGGCTTCGGATCTCACGCATGAACAAAGAGCAGCTGTAGTGACTGCGGGCCAGAGCACGTCTCATGCCCTATGAAAAGGTGCTTGTTAAAGCCCCGAGGCGCCAGGGACACGTCCCCCTCCCCTTTTCGCCCCCGCAGCGGATGCTTTGCCCTCACTACAGGATTGTCCTGTATCTCTGCACCCAGTGCTATCTGTGGCCAGGAGCAGACCCCATCGAGAGACAGGGGAGTCCACACCAGCTCCACTTGGTGTGGGAGGAGACACGAGGTGGGGCAGCGGATATTGATGAGTTCTTCAGAGCTGTAGTGGAACTATTCACTGTACATGTCTGGCTGGACGCCACCTCCTTATCCTGGCACAAGGAACGGGTAAGGCTTCAGCATGCCCGGGTTGCTGCAGATACATGGAATCAGACAAAAACCCCACTAGATCATCACTAGCTCACAGCGTTAGATCAGGACATCAGACTGAGACAGGGGCCCAAGCCTCTCACTTGACAGACGCATAGGTCAAAATCCTGCCTCAGAGACAGCTCTAAAAGTGCTTTCCACAAGCAAAAGTTGTGGCCTTGGTCTCTGCATTTGGTAGCAGAGCAGTAAACCACACATGCCCTCCCTCACCTCCAGCCCAGAGAATAGTGGCAAGCCCCCAGCACAGCTCAGGTCCCCGCAGAGTCCGTGCAAGGTCATGCCCTGAAGAGACCTGCCCTCAGAGTGCTCAGGGCAACACGACCTCCCCTGAGCATCTGAAGGGTGACAAGTCGGTGGTCGTGCAGCACATGGGGATCGCTCCTCCCACACTCTATGTCTATCCTCACCACCCTGGCCCCCAAGGTGCCTCAGGGGCATAGCTGAAAGAGGCTGGGGTCTCGCAAGTTGGGACCCTACCATGGACACAATCATTCTAGTCTTGGATGGAGATAGCACCTACACTCGGGGACCGTCTGCCCACTGCAAACTACCAGAAGTGCTGTCCTCGAGGGTCCCTCGGCCTCAGATCAGCCTCCTTGCCCTCCACCGCCGCTTCCCACCCCTACGAAGAGCCATGAAGTGGGAACTCTTTACTGCCAGTCAGAGAGAGACTGGGCTTACCTCACCAAGGATGCTTTAGAATGGTGAAAAGTGCGGTCCAGCTCCTGCCTACTGCCCGTTGCAGAGGGAGGAGAAGCTCTTAAAGGGCCAGCTCGGGAAAACTCTGGAAGAGTGGATTCCCCCTCGTGCAAAAATAGACACACTATCTTGGACGTGCTTATGCCCCGAAGGTTTCCGGAGGTGCCACTAGCAGCAAGCCATTGCAGTAACTGCAATTGTGGCCCACGTAGAGATGAGACTTTCCCCTGCCGCCCCGAGGGCTCCAGGGCCCATCACAGACAGTCCCCTCGCAACGACGGAGATAGATAACGAGAGGACATCGCGGCCAGCGACACAGGGCCCTGCTCCCGTGGGAATTGATGTGGAGCAGGTGCGCCTCGCCAGAAGCCTCCTGCGAAGGCCACAGGGTCCGGGGGATCCGCTCACGGAATCATTTGCTCTCTGACTCAGTCGGTGGCTCGGTCACTGAGAGGCTGTGGCGAGCAGCGGACAGTTGAAGAGCCAAGCCGGGCCGGGGAGGGGGAAGGGGGGGGCAATGGTGGTGCCGTGGTCTGGTGTCCGGGATGGAAAAAGAGGTATCTCGTCCCATCTCACCCTGCGAAAAGGCTCCGGAGAAGCCGCTGAAGGGAACCTAGGACCCACAGGGGATTCTGCAAGGGATCTACAGGAATGATCAAGCAACTGCTCTCTGAATGGGGGATTTCGGCGCAAGGCAGTTCCAGAGACTGAACCATGCTCTGGAGATGCCACCTGCCCTGCCCTGGGCCAGCACGGAGGCTGTGTCGTCCCCGCCGCATTGCTGTCGGGAGTCCTGTAACGCGAAAAGAGACGTTTACTGGTTTGACACGATCCGTGAATCATCTTTCACCAGGAAGACCAAAAATCTGCGTCCCAGAGCCGGCGCAGCTGGGGCTCTGAGTTGCCGCCTGCCCGTTGTCAGCTGCTTACAGACCCACCTGGGACCCACCCATCTCCATTCTCAAATCCGTTCTCAAAGCATTTAGTGTCCCCTCCCCGAGGCTCCCTGCCGGGACACTTCGCGGGAGGTGGGGGTGGGAGGGGGAAGGGAAGAGGGGGCGGGACATCCCCGTCCCCGTATGTAACACCACCGGCACAGGAGAAGGAAATTTGCTGCAGCAGCTGCCGCAGCCCGTTCTGGTCTGTGACAGATCGGAAGCGCAAGAGCGACGGAAGCGGAGAGCAGAGAGAGCATAAAATATTCCGGGAGGTTTCTGCCTCCTCCCGCGATCTGACCACTCCAGGCAGGCGTTACATGAAGCCCACGCCGCCCACGGCTCCCGCTGCGCATCGCTTCCTTCTGCTCCGAGGAGTAGGTCGTTTCTACACAGGGCCTCCCCCCAAGGGCAGGCATTACCGGCACCGTCAGCCTTGGAAACCTCCCGCATTTTCCCCTTCCGCCGGATCCAGCGCACGGTTTCACCCCTGAGGATCGAAGCGTCCCCGTAGCTGAAAGCTCTCAAATCAATCTGCAAAATTCCCACGGGAAAGGGCGCACAGAAGCTACCTGCCACGCTCAAACGCTTTCCGACTGCGGTCTGATCAGTCGGGCGACTGAGTGTTCCTCAGCATACTGTTTGGGATGGTAAAGCAACGAGCAGGTGACGCGCTTATCTCCCTGCTCGGAGGCACGGAAAAGAAACTGAAACAAACAGGAGCCAAACGCGATGGCGGGAGGAGCTGCTCTGCTACCACTGCCTGCCAGACGGAGTGACCTTCGGAGTCCTTCGGCCTCGCGTGCAAACCACACCATAGGACGGGACGCCCCGGTCCTCTGCCAGGAGTCAGCGGCTCCCAAGACCTAGAGGCTCGGGGATGGCCGGGATCCGGCCTTGCTCTCACCACCACTTCCCCCGGCCCTCACCGGAGCGCGATGCTCACAGGCTGCCACCCTACCAGGCTCTCGCATCACATTTCGCCGAGGGAAGCGTTAGCGTTCACGGTTAGCGATGGTTTGCAGGCGGTTTCAAACTAATCTCAGCCGCCTCCACCGGCTTCTCACTGCAACCAAACCCCAAACTTCCGTGAAAGATACGTGTTCGCTAAACCGAGTCAACACACCCGACTGATCCTGCTCCCTGTGTGCAAATTCCTTCGGATTTTGAGGCGGCTCATTTGAGGAAGAGCTTTTGAGCTACCACTAACGGCTCTGGAGACACTGCGAGACTCGATATTCCCCCCGAGTCTGACCCGCTAGCATGCGCATACAGTACAAACCAGTCACGGCCCGGCCCGGCCCCGATGAGAGCCGGGAAGGCGGCTACGTTACCTCGGCGGCCTTGGGGAGCCTGCTGGCGGTGCCCACGATCTGGTGGTACAGTCCCGGTTCTCCATTCCTCATGGTATTCTGGCGGCTCCCCAGGGGACTGGAAGTGAAGGGCTTTTTGCACAGGATATCGCTCTGGCGGGAGTCTGTGGTGAGATAAACCTGATGGTACAAGTTGGGCGGTGTGAAGCCACCCCGCACAGCATCGATGTGGTGGAAAGGCCCCGGCGTCCTGTACAGGGTGCTCCTGGAGTTGTTGAACAGCTCCTTCGACTGCCTCCATTTGTAGCACTTGAAAATACCCACGGACACTATGGTGATGAAGAAAGCCGCCGAGACTAAAATCACAGCCAGGATGAGATAGAAAGTCACATGCTTCCTAGGGTCGTGGGCGGGCGCCACGTCCGTGAGGTCAATGAGCGCCTCTTTGACCATCTCATCCACTGAGATGGTGACGGTGACGCTGCTGGACAGCACGGGCTCCCCGTGGTCCTTCAGC